AGGGACTTACATGTGAAACTTGCTTTTCCCTAACTTGAACTAATAAATAAATTTTTTAAAATAGGGATTCTATGTAGTATCTAACCTCAGCATGAGTTCTCATGGGGGACCTAAGAGCTGAAGGCTGGGATGAGGGGAGGGATCTTATTCAGGAACAGATGGAGAGACAGGAAGCAGGAGAGAAGGGTAAGGCAGAGATAAGACAGTGCCACAGGTGCTCAGAGCTGAGCCTTGTGAAGTCTCAGCTCAGAGCATTGAAGGCAGCCTCTCATTATCTCTGCTCACTTTATTATAGGTTTTTGCCATTCCTTCCCTCTCAGTGAAGCCAAACTCCACAGTACAGTCTGGAGACAACGTGACCCTGCTGTGTCAGTCAACATACCCAACAGACACTTTCATTCTGTCCAAGGAGGGAGCAGCCCACCAACCCCAGCGAATGAAATCAAAGTTCCAAGATTGGGAGTTCCAGGCAGAATTCTCCATGACTGCTGTGACCTCTGTGCTCTCAGGCACTTACAGGTGCTATGGTTCTTGGGACTCGCATCCCTACCTACTGTCACATGGCAGTGCCCCCGTGGAGCTCTCTGTCTCAGGCGTGGCCCTGTAGAACTCTCTGTCTCAGGTGAGGTGACCCTGAACTCTCAGGGTGACTTGAAATCCAAACCCTAGAAGAGCCTTTCTCTTGAGTGGGATGTTGATGACAGCAGGGTCCCTCAAGTAATGTCCACTCCATCCTCTATTGCAATCTAGGTTTGGGGTAGACAGCATAACAATCTTGGGGGAAGTTACAGACCAGAATTAGGAGAGACAGCAGAGGCAGGTCCCTGAGTTAGCATCCAACAATCACCCTGTCCTGTTCTGCCTCCTAGGACCCATTGGATCCTCCAGCCCACCACCCTCAAGTCCCTTGCCAACAGCTGGTAGGTATCAGGCACATCAGTGGAAGGAGTAAGGTCCATCCCCAGGCTGCCTCGCCTGAGCCCACCAAAGTCCTCATTTCTCTGTCACTTAGCTTGTGAGTGTGTGAGGCAACCACCAATGCATGAATGGATCCTTCACACACCCACTGTTGAGTCTTTTGACTACAACAACGAAGCTTGGGTAGAAGAAATTTCCAAAGGTATAAGGAGACATCAGAATCCCAAATGATTTAATTGTGGTAGAATAGGCCATCTGAAAAGAAATTGTAGACATAACATTCCTAACCAGAAGGCTTTGTAACCATCCTGTTGGATGTGGTACCCAGATGGGCAATAGCTAGTTATGGGCTGGATACAGCTGCTTCTGGAGATGCTGACTTGGACAGGTCCTTCCTATTCTGGGCTGGCTGCTGGTTCTCTGAGTATAAAGTGAGAGACCTGGCCCACATGTGTAAATTTCTTTCAGTTCTGGCCTTGAATGGCACCTCTACTAACAGAGGTGGCCTGCAGATCCTGAGTCTGCAGTAGGTCTCCCCCACCATGGGAAACCTGGGTATGGTGGTGTATCCCTGTAATCCTAACATGGCTGGCCTCACACTTCCTGTCCTTCTGCCTTGGTTCCTGCATTTACAAACATATATTCACTTCATTTTCTTAAACATTTATTGTGTTTTATTTATGTGTCTGTGTGATTTCATGCCATGTATATACAGATGCCCATGGAGGCCAGAGTGGACACTGCAGCTGGAGTTATAGGTGTTTGTGAGCTCTGTGCTGTGGGTGCTGGGAACTGAACTCGGGTCCTCAGCAAGAGCAGTGCCTGCCTTTAACCACAGAGCCACCTCTCCAGCCTCCTTCATTCATTCAAAATGTAATAATATCAGAACAGGATTAACCATTTTATACCATCATATTGGGGTCTGTACATCAAATGGTCAGATTCCTTGATATCAATAAGCTATTTCATTTCTTAATAAATACAAAGTCTGGGAGGAGAAACTATGGACAGTATGTAAAACAAATGAAAATGCTACATAAAGAAAAGAAATGAAATCCCTTCCTTCCTTCCCTGCACATGCCATGGGGAAGCCCTCCCCAATACCTGAGACTCTTCTCTCTCTTGCAGCCCAGAAAGAGACAGAATTGCAGCTTCCTGCAGGAGCTGCAGAGACAGTAACCAGAAACAGAGGCCGCCAGAAGAGGTAACTCATGGCCAGGGACATAGACCCCCACCTTCCTGACACAACTCACTGCCAACTGACACCTCCTTGTCTTTCCAGATCCAACCCAGCTGCTTCCAACCAGGAAGAAAGCCTTTGTAAGAATCAGAGGGTCCTGGGATGCAGTCTGAGTTCTTAGCATTGTAGGGGTGGTGAAGAGGTTCTGAGGTCTTTGCTGTTTGGGTCTGATCTTCACACTATGAACACAGGGATATCACCACACTCCCTGGTTCTCTGTCCACACTTGGGCTAGTCAGGAAACTAGAGATCTGAGACATTCCTAGACTCTGGTCATTTCTGTTTTTTTCTGCTGTGACAGATGCTTCAGTGGAGGACATGAAACCTGAGGATGTTGTCAATCTGAACAGTTTGGTGAGGTCCCTGTCCCCGTTTGCAGTGCTAAGAACTTAGGTCCTAGTTTAGTCCAGGCTGCCTTCTTTTTCCTCCCTCGCTTGGCCCTCAACATCATCCATAGCTGACGACTCCCTTCTGCAACTATCTGGCTCCTGTGTGCTATGGCCTCACTCTGACCTGGGTTTCCTGGGATCATGGGCCTCATCGCTGCTGTC